GTCTAGTTGGCCAGAGGATGGTAGAGAGGCACTGAATGTGCTAGGGTATATCAAGGTGCCAGGGAAGCCTAGGAGTAAAAGGAGAAGGGAGCTCAATGAACTAGCTAAACCAAAAAAGGTTTCTAAGTTTGGAACAACTATCAGGTGCAGGACCTATAAGAAATCTGGGCATAACAAATCAAGCTGTCACAAGTACACTGATGCAGGAACTAGCACAACAGCTTCTCGGCACACTACCAATGCTGCCAATGCATCCAACAACTCAGTACCTAGCAGCATTGGCCAAAGCAGGAAAAGAAAGGCAGTTGAACTCAGTACTAGCACATCTGCTTGCCAGACTTGGAGGAGATCACCTCCTGTGAAAAAGGTCTGTACCATTTCCTGGACTAAACTATTACTCTCATTCACCTGGTCTAATTGTATCTTCTGCTTGTAGGCACCAAACAAAACCAACCCAATGGTGAAGGTAGCAGCCAGTGCAAGGGTATTAACCCGACAAGGTGGTTCAGCCAGTGTGAATCTTCAGGCCATAGTGCCACATTCTCAGAGCTCTAGAACTGCTTTAGTGAGGATCACTTCTGGAAAAGCATGTGTGTTTGTTCAAGTTCAAGAACCTGCTAGTGCCAAGACAAAGAAATCAACCCCTAGTCGACTGATGTTTCTTTTCCATGGGAATCTGATAAGATGTGATGTATTTCTGCACACTTGAGCAGCTATTTTGTGATGCATTGCCAAACTCTTGGGCATGTCATGTGCTGTGTATGGGATGGCTAACTAATGGCCACATAATATGTGTGCCAAACTCACATGTAATATTTGTAGCTTTGAAAAACTCTTAGCCCATCTCAAATGAATCTTCAGTCATACTTGATGGCATTTCAACTTATGTCAAATATTTCTGCACATACATAAGATGAGTAATATGTTTCATCTCATATCAAACATATTGCTGCATTCACTCAAATTTCATGACAAACAAAAGAACATATTGATGCATTCACTGAAATTTCAGACATAACAACAACCACCAATCCACCATACATCTTACCATGCTAACATATTACAGCTCAGTTCTTCACTAACACCAAAACAAACAACATAAACACACATGTCAACAGTAACATTAGAAGCACATATCTCTGTTTCTCTAGCCTACTTGGCTTCAGTCCAATAATTTTTGCTTCATCCTTAGATGCCACAAGCCTCAAAGCTGCTAGTTCATGCCTTGCTGCAGTAATCTCTGCACACTGCTCTTCTTCCTTCGTCCTCAATTCATCAACAAAATGCTCAAGCTCAGCCTTCTCCCTCTTAGTGACAACACGACATCTCGAAGATCATACAACGGCTCTCTCATGAAACTGCTAGATGGGGGATCATACCAATCAAACAAATTGCAGCCGGCGCCCTGAAAGTTCGACATGCAAATTCACCACAAGCTAAATCCCAACTCCCATAACAACAACCAAACAAAACAAATCGAAGAACACTAACCTGATTGTGACATTTGTGGTACCGACGACTTGGGTTGTCGACTCCCCACGAGATCCACCGTGCCGCTTTCGCACCACCCTTGCACATCACCACCGGGTGGTACTCGAAGGGCCCAACATGAGGCGGGATGGGAGCACGATTGGTGGGATGGGAGGAAGTCGAAGAGCATTCACTATACGAACTCGCCATCTCCTCGCATGCACTCCTCTCCTTGCCGCCATCGCTGCCACCACCATGCTACCGCCTAACCTAGGGTTTTCGAAGAGAGAGAGAAGGGGAAAAACTCGCGCCAACCCAACAAGAGAGATGACTCAGTGTAATAACGCCCTAACGGCGCACTAACATGTGGGGCTTGCTGTATGCCACATTAGTAAAACCGGGGTTAAATTTGGTCCATACTGCCTTGAGACCTATTTTACACGGTTTGTAATAGTTGAGCGGTAGAATTTCTGGTATTGGAGATTGGGGACCTCAGACAAACTCGACGTAAAGTTTTGGGATATCAGGTGAACTTATTCTCTTTTTTTTTTTGGGGGGGGGGAGTGGGGGTGGAGGATATAGCTGCAGGTGATCAACATAAGGCATAGAAGTTTAAGCCCCATCCTTCAATTCCACATTCTTCTAAAGTAGAGATACGACTGAGCATATAAAGATGAGTGCATGCTAATTTTGTCATCTCCAAAATTATGTGTGTACACAGAGAAAAACGTACTGTCAATATTATCACACACCATGACACCAACACAAATGTAAAGTTAATTAGTAACCATGGTTGAGTTGTCGACGCAGGCAAGACTTGGCCCTATTTGGGGGAGCTTAGTATTTTGAGAAGCAGCAGGTGACAATCTGGAGAAGCTGACAAATCCAGCTTATGGCTTCTAGTTCATTTTCTGGATTATACAGCTACATCATTTCACAGTCTAGGTGAAAATTTAGACTGTTTGGGGGGGGTCCCCCAAATAAGCCCTATAGCTAGAAGGCAAATTGCTCGCTTATATATTAATATATGGCATGCAAATCAAATCCCCAAATAAACAACAAAATGCACTGTTGAATGGAGTAACGCAAATAAATTTAGGCCAAAGCAACATAAGAATAACAAAACCAATGCAACCATGAGGAAGAAAGAGGTTACGAAGCATATACTGATGACGCGGTCTGCGAGAGCATGTTGATTAGGGAGGAAGTTGCTGCGGTGCCAGTGAGGGCGGAAGAGTTGGCGATTCCCGTAGCAGCGGCAGTGGCGGAAGAGATGGATGCATCGGAGGTCGGAGGCACGAGCAAGGGGAGGAAGTGGAGGCAAGGGAGAAATTTGCATGTGTGCCATCCTTAGGAAAAACGGCTTCGCTAGAAAGCCATAGTTAAAATGGAATTCGTTTGAATGCTACTCTTAAGCTGTGGGTATTTCCTACAATGTAATTTTTGTTGTTTCTTGCATTTGTAAATCATTTTTCATCCAGTTAATTTTTTCTTGGATGTTTTTGCTCCTGCCTGCATGGTTTGAACGAAACAACATCCTCTCTCTCTCGTGAATCGTAACTACGTTTTCAAGAACCGAACAAGCGCGAGAAGGGGCGATTGCAACCACGCCAGAGCCGCCTACCACCTGCTCCGCCTGCCCCACCGAGCCACGCAGCTTCCCCACACGGAGCCGCGCTCCCTCTCCCTCCGTCGCATTCGCACCACCGCCTCCCTCGACTCCGATCACTTGCCCGCCACGCTCCGCCTCCCTCGACTCCAGCGACTAGCCCGCCACTCCACCTCCCTCAACTCTAGCAACTTGCCCGCCTCGCTCTAGTGCCAGGAGACGGCGCTGTTCCGCGGGAGGAAGCTACGCGGCTCCGCGGGGGAGGCGGTGCGGCTCGGGGAAAGGGGTGGTTGGGGAAGGTGGTAGAGTAGGTGGTGGTTGTCGCCAGCGCGGTCATGGGAAGGTACTGGAGCAAGTGGTGGGTGGCATCAGCGTCATCGTGGTTGCCTTTCCTCGTGCTTGCTTAGAGCGAGTGGATGTGGTTTGGTTCAACCCGTGCAGCTAGAGGATAAAGCATCTGAGAAAAAAATTAAATGGATGAAAAATGATCTCCAAATGTAAGAAATAGAGAAAATTGCATTGTAACGAATGCCCACAGCTTGAGAGTGGCATTCGAGCGAATTCTATTTTAACGATGACATTCTAGCGAAACCGGTTTTTAAGGATGGCATATATGCAAATTTCTCTTTGACTGAGGTACAAATTACTCGTGAGACCCTGATGTCATGACGCCCATCACATGAGAATTTTGATGACGTACCCATGGATGACGTCACAATGGATGACATATGCCAATTAATGTATGATTAATTGTCTCAGAGGCTATTGGTCCTGTACTCCTATCGAATTGAATGGACGAGAGGACGATCGATTAATCCGTTTGACTGATCACCCTTCCTCATCGGGAAAGAAGTAATTCTTGTACTACTCCTGTGTTTGTGATGCGGAAGAAATTAGGCTAGCAATAGCAACTCGTCAGACAATTAATCCCAAACGAAGCTAAGCCGCGATTTTCACGCGTGCATGTATAGTATGCTACATTTGATAAATGGTGAGTAACTCATTTATAATAGTATGAGAAGTTAATGTTTCAATGAGAATTCGAGTATGTTACACATTTTAAGTTTTTATGTTGTAATTAATCTTTATTTAATGTTTCATATGGTGTTATTTGGATATTTCAATACTATTTCAATGGGAAATTAAATTAACTAGATGTTTTGTTTTCCTTAAAATTTGTAGGAATTTCTCTAATTTATTAGAGTGCCATGTAGCATCATAGAAGCGTTTGCAGAAGTGCGATATGACGGATTAAGAGCGTTTATAGGATGTTTAATGTACTTTTAGTATATAATAGATAGATAAGTAGCTATATGTATAAAGCAACGTGGTCTTATAAGGGTAATAAGAGAGCTGCTAGCTCGTGTGTGTACGTATAAGGTTTTGTTTCTATTCCTGTGTTTGCCTATATCGTGTGTTCCTACAAATAACCCAGTGTTAATCTTCAGTATACTGTATTTGCCTATATTGTGTGTTCCTACAAATAATCCAATGTTAATCTTCAGTATACATGTGCTCCCGGTCCGACGTTATTGGAGCACCCAACATCAAGCCATCTTACCATTTGTTGAAAAACCGCCTATAGAATTAAGCCATCTGTTTTTCTTTCAATTCTATAAGCTGAATCTAGTACTAAAAGAAAACGAGGCCTTTCACCATGCCCCATCTTGCCCCTCGAAGTGGTTAAGAGTTTTCATGCAATCCTAGTAGTTAATTTTTAGTTTTTATTTGATGCCATAAATGATTGAACTCTTTCTTATAACATACCTTTACTAAATATAAGAATATAAATTACTCCATCCGTTTCAAATACCAAGATGTCGTGATGTGAGAAATAGCAGCCAAGTTAACATACACAACTCGGTCGCTTTCATACTTCATAAGGTTGATATAAAACCAACCTTAGATAGGGTACTATTTGCTTCAAAAAGAAGGGCACTACAAATATTTCAGCTTAGATGATCGATATACTCATTGGATGAAAACTATTCACCAAACCAAACTTTTAATGAAGATTTTTATTGATGCATACAACACATTGCTAACTGAATGACGACTTTATTCACCAAACCAACCTTCAACGAAGATCCTTATTGATGCATACAATGCATTGCAAACTGAAACCACCGACAGAAGGACTGCAAATTCAGAAGTAAACACACTTCAGCTAGAAAGGATCCCTCATCACTACTGGAATGAAAGGGAGGATCCCATCATATTTATTTATTATAGAAAACACACTTCAAAGTCAAACATGGGAAACTGATTTTGACATGTTATCTCGGATGCACGTAGATGCCAACTGTGTCGAGGTACTTCCCGCTGCGTCCAAAGAAGCCCACTATAGTGGAGTTATTCTGCACCGGGACGCTAAAAGGGGTTCCTTCCTGTCGTCCAAATGGACCATATGTTTTCTTATTGGTGACAAATTTAATAGATCTTATAACTTTCCAGCCTTCATATGGGCCAAACGTTCCAGAAACCTCCTTGAGAAACTCTGAACTGCCAAATTCAATCTACATAAAAAAAGGATAACTACTGTATAAGTAATTTAACACCAAATATGTTCTGTTCTTTTCATTAATTGTGGGTGTGTGGTGTGGGCTGTGAGGTACTCCTAGATGACTGTCGTTAAATAAAAATTGCAATGGAAGTTCACTAACCGTGCAAGGATCCCCACCAGGACCACCCCATGGACCTGCTCTGTGCTTCTCTCCAGCTTGGTCAAAGTAAATAAATGAGATCGAATCAATAGTCCAGCCGCTGTGTATTGTAATGGATTCTAGACGCTTTGGAGTAGCTGTAATGTCTTGAGCTCTGCCTCCATCAATTCCACCCCAAGGCCCAATCTTGGTGACAAGGCCCTGCATAGATATGTTGTACATCTTACATATCCCATAATGATATGGTATCTCAAGTGCTTCTTAACATTTAACAAAGCTATAGAAAATAGATTAATGTTCTTACCTGTGACGGTGACCCTTTCAAGACAGGGCAAAATCCCTTGATAGTGAGTTCCATAATATTTCCTTCTTTTTTTTGTTCATGGAACTTTTTAAAGATTACACCATTTGCCATAGCAAATTGTCCCGTGCCCCCGACAATAGCCCATTCACCTTGTTCAACAACTATTCCCATCACCTCAAGAGTGGAACCCTTGAACCTGTAGCATATACATAATGTTAATCTACCACGTTACAATTGATTGAGAAAAAACTAATGTTCATGTGCTTCTAAAATGCAAGTGTAGAACTTATTTTTGTAGTGTGATTAAAGGGGCTAGAGTGTATGTGTAACCCATCCATTGATACCGAAGGATGCACGCACGCATGCATACACATATATACAGACACAAACACTGAAACACAAATATATGCTTACCTTTCATCCTCAAACACTAGGGTGAAGGAGTTGTGCCAGTTACCGGCATAAACGTGCAGGCCTTGTGCATGGGCAACAACCTTGGCGTCACAGCCGATTCCGTCGTATACCTGCCAGTTGTTAACAACCAAGGAACCCAACCCGGTTTCCTTGTTTGTGCTTGTGACCCCGGACTGGTTTGGTCTTGGACCAGCCGGCGTGTGGTGCAGGTAGAGTTTGCTAAAGTTGATCTCATTGCCCTGAATGGGTGTGCTGCATGGGGTGAATTGCAGCTTGCTAGCAGACATGGCTGGGAACTGCTGGTGGGTAGGGGAGAAGATGTGGTGTAGTACTATGGTCTATGGCTGTGGCTGTGAGGGATGTGAGAAACTGAAGCTGGCATGCATCAGCTATTTATAGATAGAGGCTGTGTTTAGCTCCCTTCAAACTTCCAAAATTTCCACCACATCAAATGTTTAGACACATGTATGGAGCATTAAGTGTGGACGAAAAAAACAACCGATTTGCATCTCATAACACTTTTGCATGCAATAAATATTAACAAATAAAAAGAATTAAAATAAGTGGTAGACACTTGAAATAAACTTCCATAAATCTCAAAAGTTTTGCAACTCAATTAAAAGGATGAAAACATCCAAAATTTGATTCAAATTAGTAAACTTGTTTTAATTTTCAAAAATAAACAGGACTTGAGAAAAATCCCAAAAATTCACCAAGTGGAGTTCTTGACCACACTAACCTCCAGTAATTTTTGCGCAAGCATTTGAGCACTGTAGCATATCCAAAAATTAATCAAACTCTCAGCCTTCTTGGAAATTCCCAGAAAAATCCCCTCACCTCATCCCTTCTCCCTTTCTCTCTCTCTCTGATCAGTGGGCCTAAGGACCATTGGCCCCACCTGCCAGCCACCATCCCCATCTCCCAGCTCTCTTTCTCCCTCCTCTCCCTCTATTCCTTTCAGGCAATTCATCGAGCACCTAGCGTGCGAGATCGAGGTCATCGTTTCCAAGCCGACCAAGCAACCTCTGCCCGCGATTCCCGCTGGCAAAGCTGAGGCAAGGCTGGTGCTTCCCTGCCCGATGCCCTGCCGCGCCCAGGCGCTGACCTCGCAGCCCGCCGCGGCCAACCCGAAGCCGCCGCCCCTCGCCACCACTCCAATGCCGCCGGTCTCTCTCTCTCCTTCTGCCCGTGCGGCGACGCAGCAGCACAACGACCCCGACCACGCCTGCAAAGCTGCGCGCGCTACTGCAAAGCCGCGCAAAAGCCGCGACGCTGCCCTTCCCGAGCCGCCGCGCCTCTGCCTACCGAGCTGCCTGTGCCCAGGTTGAACAAGAAGGACCTTGTTCTGTAATTAGGATAAAATATAGGGTTCTTTCCGAACAATGCCAGACACTGACAGGTTGGCCTAGGACTTACATGTAATTTATGCAAACTTTAGTTTAGTTGGACCCCACGGTTTTAAAATGATTACACAGAACGAAAATGCGCCTTCCCTGTAGGAAAACGTATTGAAGACAGTTTGCTTTAGTTTCTTTTATAAACAAATTATTAAATCTGAGAAAAGGTTTTCTGTTAATTATTTATGCACTATAAAATGCTGAAAATTTGGAAAATCATAGAAAATTCATTTTAGATCCGATTGACGTGAACCAAATTTTGTTACTCCCTCCGGGCTGATAATACTTGTCGTTTTGGATAAGGGTGAGGTCAAACTTTAAAATCTTTAGTTATGAATAATTTCTAAAATATTTATCTTTGAAATATGGTGACTATATTCACATATTAGTCTTAAAAAATACTTCAATAAAATCATATATTTGTTAACATTTATATACATATTATAATAAAAAATAATGGTTAAAGTTGTTTGTTGAAGACAATGCCCTTGTCCAAAACAACAAGTATTATCAACCCTGAGGGATTAGTTTCATAATAGCTCTCTCTTTAATACTGCGCACTCAAACATAGCATCACTGTTGTGAAAATTTTCACTAATTTAAATTTGAATAGTAGTGTATTTTAAAATCTTAGAAACACGATAACTTGCACATTTGACATCGTATTTAGGCGATTATTTCTCCTAAATTTATATTAAATCACCCTCTATACACTGAATATGTTCATGCACCCTGCATCACATTTTATCTTGGAGTTCTATTGGATTTTCGTTTGAATATATGTTTAAATTTAAATAGAGGACAAATTGATTGTTGCTGTTGATGAGAGTGTGCACGACCAAGAGATATTTGAGTAACTCCTGAGCAAGGCAAGTCCTATTCAATTCCTCCTTCGAACATGTTGAATTCTATATTTTCGCAAATGTTTTATTATGTTTAAAAATTGCATGCAATGTTTGCAAAATGTGGGACCTTGGTAGAACAACTCCTATTTGCTGCATTATCTATGATATTTAGGTCGGTTTGTTAGAGATTTGGTAAGAGATCGCGATGTAGTCTTTGTTTGTATCTTATCTTTAGGAAAGTTTGAGTCGTGCCTATAATGGACTAAATTTGTACTCCGGTACAAATATAGACCCCAGATCATTGTAAAAGAGAGAGACAATCCAATACATCTTCGGCGCATCGCCACCCTTTTTGTTCTTCTTTTCGGCGAGTTCTCTCGAAAAGAAGTAACCCGTCTCGATGGCTTGAGCTATCGGGGCTATATCGGTTGGTCCAATATATCATCTTAGATGTTCTAATCCTTTTATCATGACCATCTGTTATCATATGTATTAGTTAATCTAGTCTTAGTATCTCAATTTAGCTCTATCGGTTGGTTCTCGTTTTAGGGTTCTTGCCGATATCGGATAAATTGCCTTACTAGATTAGATTAACTAAGGCATCTACCATCTTGAAAAGTAATTAATTTCTTGACCGTTTAGACTTTAGGTTTCATTACTTACTTTATGATAGTATTGTCTAGAACCCTAAAAACTAACCTGGAATTAATTATAATTAGAGATAGTATCGGAGTTTCAGCCGATCTTACGTAATATAGATGCTACTTTACATGTTTTATGTATATTTGCCACTTATATAGACAGATCACTTCATATAAATATATCAAGTTTAGATCAACATCGGCTAGGTTATCAAACCTGGTAGTTGATCGTTATTTGATATATTTTTATAGATTAATTTGTTTATATAAGTTTGTACTAGAGTATTAGCTAGTACATTATTTTTATTTACCTATCTTGCTCTAAATAATGTTACATCGACAATTTTTATGATATTGTCTTAAATCTATTTTATCAAAACTAAGGAGATGATATTACAGCCGATGTGGCATATTTAGGGTTTGTGCTTAATTTACACATCAATCCATAGCTGATCTGGTCTAACTATATCGGCTAGGATCACTAACGACACGTCATCGGCCAATCGGCTACCGGCTCACTCACTTTGTTTGTTGTTTCCTTGCTGGTTGCAGGATCAAACCAACTGGCACGCCCTTAGCGCACTGGAGTTAAGCAGATCTCTCAGGCTGCCATGTTTCGTTTGCAGCTTCATGTGCTCATAAAAATGGGTAAGTTTGTGCCTTCATAGGCTCAAAAGAAATGTGAGGTAGGCATGTGCATTGTGAATATGTGACTGGCAATGTAATTTTTGTGGGATTTTGGAATGCATGTGTATGATGTTAATTCTGTGATGTATCTGTGCTGAATTGTGGAAAACTGTGAAATTGGGGATTGGCTGGAATATCTGTGATGTATCTATTTCTTAGAGGGCATGGCAAGCAAATCCTGAAGCTAGCTAATATTTTAAATTTTTTTTGAAAGTACCTCATTATTGACGGGTCATAAACAAACACCGTCACAGATGACCTAAGCTCTAACAGCGTTGGTATATCAGTCCGTCAGAGGTGAGTCACCTGTGATGGCTCCAAAGTAGGTATGTCAGATAAGGGGATGCCTCTGACGGGTCGTAAACTTTGCACCCGTCACAGGTGTCTCACCTCTGACGGGTTACAAGCATACGTGGGCTTGTGAAGATCCTCACCTCTGATGGGACGAAAAATACAGGCCCATATATAAAATGTGACTGTCCACCCAACAAAGGTGAACAGAGTTATTATGGCATTGTCAAAGGTAAGGGTTTGAACCCGTCAGAGATGGTCTAATCCAGCGTAGTGTCAGTGCAGCTAGGCATTAATTTAAGGAACCAACACTGATTGAGAGCGCGTGAGTATGAGAGGGCAGGAAACCTTATCAGAACCGGCTTTGGTCCAACCGGCATCGATAAGGGTGGCATATATATACGCTGTTTTGTAGTAGTATTTATCTTAACAAGAACGAACATGTTGACATGTTAGCCTCTGTGTGGAGAGAAATCCCAACTTTATGCCCAGATTAATTTAGACCTCAGTTTAAACTATAGAAAAATTAATGAACTTTCCACCAGTTGCCGAGAAGCTTGAGCTCGGAATGCAAACAATGTCAACTAACTCGTCAAGTACCTTTAATTGGTTCGTCAATCAAATTTTAAAACTAAACTAGTATATTAATTAAGGTAAGTACATGCAGTTTTATCTTAGCAAGAACAGCCATGTTCCTATGTTAGCGCGGAAGGAGGTATTACGTAAAAAAAATGTTGACATGTTAGCCACATTCCCACCTATATTATTATAATATGAAGAGAAACCCCAACCCGATTATATATACCCTAATTTAATTTAAACTCACTTTAAACTAAAGAAAAAAAATTCCCACCATTTGGCAAGGAAGCGTGAGCATGCAATGTAAACAATGTCAACTAACTCGTCGGGTACTCTTTAATTTGTTCAACAACAAATACTAAAACTAAACTTCGTTAAGGTGATGCCGTTATTTTTATCTTAACAAGAACAACCGTGTTGACATGCATGTTAGCCTCCTATATATTATAATATGGAGGGCATCCTAGCTTTATTAAACCTCAATTTAAACTATATATAGCAAAAATGAATATTCCGCCATTTGCAAGGAAGCATGAGCATACAAGTCAAACAATATCAATGAACAGGAGGTCATGTCTTGGGCCTCATGGAAATAGACGAATTTCAGAGCATTCGGTATAAATCCCAAAACCTTATATAATACTACATTCATATTTTAATGGATGACGCCGTTGACTTTTTATTCAACGTTTGACTATTCGTCTTATTTAAAAAGTTTATGTAATTATCATTTATTTTATTGTGACTTGATTCGTTATCAAATGTTCTTTAAGCATGACATTAATATTTCCATATTTGCGTAAAAATTTTGAATAAAACGAATGGTCAAACGTTGGTCGAAAAGTCAATGGCATCATACATTAAAATACGGAGGAAGTATATGTTGCAATTAGCTGTTTTTATCGAGTATATCCGTCCCATGTCTGCGTCCACCACTGAGCACTCCATCATAGGTTGAACAACCAAATACTAGAACTATACGCTATGTTTAGGTAAGTAAAAATGCAGTTTTCCCCGCAAAAAAAAAAGAGTAAAAATGCAGTTTCGCCTTAACAAGAACTAACATGTTGACAACTTGACATATTAAATTACTATAATATGGGGAGAAATCAAAGTTGAGTACCCTAGTTTAAACCTCAGTTTTAAATTGTTAAATCATTGCGTACATGAAATTTCCACAGCTTACCAAGGAAGCTTAAGCATGGGAGGCAAGCAAATGTCAACGAACTTAGCGGGTTGCCGTTCTAATTAAAAAAACCGGAATTGCTATAACAATCTTTCATATTTTGATTCCGATCCAACTGATTCGGTTGAAGATTCGTGCACAGAGTCATGAACTCCGGCGACCTCGACAAACTAGATTTCAGGGTTGGCGTCGGGGTATTTGGGGAGAGGGGGAATGACAGGGAGGTGGTGGTAGGGTTTAATTTACCGTTTTCGGAATGTATTTCGGGGTACCGATTTGATAAAAATTTAGAAAATTTCCACCATTTGAATAAAATTTTGTCAAAGTAGTACAAAATTGACCAAATTCATAAAAAATGAAAAAAAAAATCCAAATCTGTTTGAAATAATTTCATGTATGGGACGAGTTTCTGCCTCATACAACTTGAGCCGAAGACCGCGCGGGGGGCCAAGGTCCAATAGAAAAAAAAATTTCCGAAATTCTGAACCCTAAGTGGCGGCGCTGGGCACCAGAGGACATGATGGTGGTGTTGGTGCTGGTCGGCTGGTCTCGCCGGCAGTGCTTGGGGGAGGGGGAGGGGCCAGGAGGGAAGAAGCTGCGACTAGGGGTGAAAATGGGTGGGTACGGTCGAATTATAACATTTTCCATATCCAAACCTATATTTCCCTTTAAGTTCGGAACCGGATACGGGTAGTGCCGGATAACATATCACTCATCTCGTATCCTATCCCATATTATTTCCTTTGAATTAGATTCGGAAATGGATATCTATTTGTATATCTAATTCATTGAAATTATATATATTAAGGTGTATCATATCCCATATTATTTCCTTTGAATCAGATTCAGAAACGGATATCTATTTGTATATCTAATTCATAGATATTAAATATACTAAGGTAATTAAAGTACTAAAAGAGATACATCAAGAGACAAATTATATAATATTACATGTGAGCTCATAAAATAGTGATTAGCCGATCTTTTATCATGTTTATAGGTAATAGATTTTCATACATGTTTTATAATATGGGACATATAGACGGATACATGTCATCCCGTATCCTATAGAGGACATTTTGAAACTTTTAATAGGCACAATCGTGAGTCAACAAGTAACTCGAAATGCCCGTAAGAAAAGAGAATTGATTTTCAAAATGGTAGAACTAGATGACGAAGTTTTTCTATAACCTTGATGAAGAGGTAGTTTTAGTTTACGACTCCGATCAAGAGTGAGAAGTCTTTCATTTCAGATTGGACTGCTATAGAATCTGGACTCATCGTAGAGACGTTCAAAAGGCTCCTGATGATAAGAATCATACTTTCGTGGAACTCCATGGGGCTATGGGCTTCAACGCGGTAGACGTTTTGTTCCAAATTTTTCTGGAGCAAACCTCCAACCCAACAATAAAATTCGAATGAATTCGGATTCGAACTCGGATAGTATCTGGTATCCTATTTTTTTCTCCTATATTCCTCCCACGAGCCTTGAGTTGGGCGAGTGGTCGAGAAATACCCGCACCATTTTCATCCCTAGCCGTGACGCCTAGGGGCAAATATATATGGGACTATGACAAAATCTAGGCCTTTGGTTTAAATTTGAACCAACGGTATAAAATTTGCAAGATTTAGATCCTAGATTCCTGTCAAATTACATATAGGCAGTCAAAAAGAAATGGCGGGTACGCATATATATCGCGCACGTTCCCGCCAAAGTTTTTGTATAAAATGATCCCTCAATTGCATCAACAAGAAGCAGATAAATCTCGCTCTGTCGTGCGCACTCTGCAAGCAAATTAAACCAGGAAAAAGGCTCTAATCGTGAGAGGGCAGAGAGACGATGGAAGCGACGGCGGTGAGCTTGGCGAGGTCCGTCCTCGACGTCGTCCTGAGCAGCGTTGGGCCTGCCGTCGCCGACGAGGTCGCGCGCTTCCTCGGCGTCCCCAAGGAAGTGAAGTTCATCCGCAACGAGCTTGAGATGATGCAGGCCTTCATCAAGACGGCCTCCTCTTCCTTGCACCCCGACGCCGCCGCCACCGCCGGAGGCGGGGACAACGACATCTTGAGGACGTGGGTGAAGCAGGTGCGCGACCTGGCCTATGACATCGAGGACTGCCTCCTCGACTTCGCCCTCTACGCCGCCAGGATCTCGTCGTCGCCGACGGGCAGCTCCTGGCTCCGGCCAGGCCCCCTCGCGGCGCGCGGCCGCATCGCCGACCGGATCCGCGAGCTCAAGGCCAGCGTCGAGGAGCTCAACCAGCTTAGGCTGCGTTACCATATCGTCGTCGACGACCACCACCACCCGAGCCGCACGTACCATGAGCGCGTCGTCGCCATGCTCCCCGGCGGCCATGGCTCGAGCTCCGACGAGCTCGCGTTCCAGGAGTCGGAGATCATCGGCCGCGCAGGCGAGAAGGAGCAGCTGAAGGATCTGATCTCCCGCTGCAGTGGCTCGCCGTCGCCGAGCGTGGTGGCGGTGTGGGGGATGGGCGGCATGGGGAAGTCGTCGCTGGTGAGGATGGTGCACAACAACCCGGCGGTGCTCGACGTGTTCGACTGCAGCGCGTGGGTGACGGTGCCGCACCCGCTCGACGGCGCCGACGAGTTCAGGCGGCGGCTGAGGAAGCAGCTCGGCCTCGGCTTGGGCGCCGCAGCCGGAGACGACCAGAACGTCATCCAGGACTACCTGCGGGAGAAGAGGTACATCATCATGGTGGACGACCTGCTCAGCCAGGAGGAGTGGGATCAGATCTGGCAAGTCCTCAAGCCGTTGAACAACAAGGGCAGCGTCGTCATCGTCACGACGCGCCGTAAGGACGTCGCCGGGCACTGCGCGGGCCTCGCGCCTGAGGAGCATGGCCATGTCTACGAGCTGAAACGTCTGGATGATAAGCAATCCAAGGATCTCCTTTGTCGAAAGGTACATGCATGTCTTTGCTTGATAGTTGATACTCCCTCCTCCGTTCCAGTTCTAGGTTATAAGATGTTTTTAACCTTTATCAAAGTGAAACAACTTTAAGTTCGACTAAGTTTATTATAAATTTATTATAAAAAAGTATTTAATTACTAATTTAATAAAACTAATTTAGTAATATAAATATTACTATATTTGTCTATTAACATTGTAAGTCAAAACATCTTATAACTTGAAATGGAGGGAGTAACATTTATATTTATTTTCTTTGAGAAATTTTAAAGTCTCTAAGAGGCACCAAGAGTGTTACTAAAATTTATAGTGCAAATTTCCATAGCTCCTAATATCGGAGGTACTAAATTTTACATTTAAAATAATATTGTACCTACGGATACTTTCTCAATGACCATAAAATCACTCCTTTTTTAAGTAAAACATAGTTAATGTGAAAATCATAGATTAACGACTGTATGCAGTAATAGAGACTGTAATCCTTATTGATATTTTTTAAACATACTGTTTCATAAATATTTGCATGGCAAACAAATATAGGGACATCCCTCAAGGTGTTTTAAAAAACTTTTATGCATAGTGGGGCATGGTTGGTCGGACTGAATTTATCACCACCACATATGGATTTTCGTCTCTCAAGGGGACGTCCACTTTTTTCGTGCATGTCATTAAAAAATCATTATTTTTTTAAAAAATGGTAAGATAGATCAACATGTGATATTTACTGCACAATTGAATTTGACCAATATAATTAGAAACAAAAATAATAAATTTGACTAGGAATTACATGTTCTGTTCAGAGTCAAATTTGTTGATATTGTTTCTACATGTATAAGTTGGACTTCAACTTGTATAAAGTGATATATCACATATTGATCTATTTTGTTAAAAAATTTTAAAAAAATTATGACATGTGTAAAATTGAGGGGATTGGGGATAAATAGAGTCGAGGATCTTATTCGGACAAAAGGAACTCATAAAGTTCCCTTGCATATAGGAAGTGAAGTTTTGGAGGAAACCAGAAATGGGAACTTTCCAGAAATCACCTGACCGATTTCAGTGGGAAATTGGCAAGAACGACACCCATACATATAACTCACTTCTAGACAGGGTTAACAATTTTGGATCCGAAATTCCAAAATTTCGGTGTGTTGGTAGGATGTTCTACCGGCTGTAGAAGCTCAATTTTAATCCATTTTCTAAAAGAAGGATGTTCTACTGTGCAAAGTATGTTTTTTTATATTAACAAAATTATATTCATATTATGCAAAAATTATCAAGATTTTGAAATTGTTGAAAATTTCCCCTTTTTTCCCCTGAAATTTCAGTGACCCGGGTATAACTATGTATTCCGAAATAGTAAATTTTTTTTTCAAGATTCCTTCATGCACCTACATTTGGCTTTCATAATTTCAATTTCATTCTATAGTCATTTTCATTTTTCAAACATTAACAAACGCTGGCCTACGCACTGCTCGTCTCATTAATTTAATTATTTCATTCCATTTCCATCATTTAAAGGTCTACAGAACACCAAACTATACCTTGCCGGAGGACATGAAACCGCACATCAGTCGCATCTTGAAGGGATGCTGGGGGCTTCCTCTTGCTATATCCACAATCGGAGGTCTCCTTGCCAATAGGCCTAAAACAGGAATGGAATGGAAGAAGTTGCACGAACACCTTGGAGTAGAGCTGGAGTCCGACCAGCTCCAGGACATCACGAAGGTACTTGTCTCAAGTTACCATGGCCTGCCATATCACCTGAAGCCAATCTTCTTATACCTTAGTATCTTCCCCGAGAACAACGAGATCCGGCGCACCCGCTTGTTGAGGAGATGGATCGCAGAAGGTTACATAGCGAATAACCGCGACATGCCCGTTGAAGTAGTGGGAGAGCGCTTCTTCAATGAGCTTATCAACAGAAGCATGATCCAATCTTCCAAGGTCAGCCATGGCCTGAAAGTCGATCGCTGTCGAGTTCATGGCATGATGCTCCATATAATCCTGTCCAAGTCCATCGATGAGAACCAGCTCTTTGTCATCAAGAAGCACTGTAACGAGGTTCCACAAAGTAAGATACGCCACTTGGTTGTGAACAGATGGAAGAAGAGGGATGAAAAGTTGGAGAACATAAACCTGTCATTGATTCGATCGCTAACGGTATTTGGAGAGTGCCCAGCATCTCTCATTACCCTTGAGATGCGAATGCTTCGTGTTCTCGACCTGGAAGATATGGCCAATCTGAAGAACGAAGACCTTAAGCACATAGGAAAGCTGAGACACCTAAGATATCTGGGTCTTAGAGGAACAGATATTTCCAAGCTTCCATCTTCTCTTCAGAACCTTCTGTACCTAGAGACGCTTGACATCCAAGACACGCAAGTCACCCAGCTCCCAGATGGCATTGCTAAACTTGAGAAGCTCCGTTACCTTCTCGCCGGAGTCAATTTCTCAAGAGATTTGCTACAAAAGATGCCGCAGTTTGGGATGGAAAACCACAATTCCAACCTGTTGGGGAACTTGGCATCCTGCCTATATTGTTACAACACCCAATCTTGTGAGATATCTGGCATGGATCAATTCAGTGTAATGGTTCCTGAAGGAATCGAGAAGTTAAGGAACTTGCACATGTTGAGTGTGGTCAATGTGCGCAAGAGCAAAGATGTGGCTGGGAAGCTGGAGAGGCTGACGAACTTGCAAAGGCTAGGGGTCACAGGTCTTGGTCAGGAGGAAGGCAAGGAGCTATGGAACTCGATAAAGAACCTCAATAGGTTGCAACGGCTTGAGGTGCGCTCCGAGTCACTTGATTTTCTTGTCAACAACAAGGACATAGATGCAACACCACCAAAGTATCTAGTGTCACTCAGGTTGTGCGGTCTGTTGGACGAACTTCCTGTATGGATCAAGTCACTCAATGATCTGACGAAGGTGAAGCTAATAGGGACACAACTAAAGCAGGATGACATTCATCGCCTCAAGGACCTGCGCATCCTAGCTTCACTAGGCTTGTGGGAGAAGTCCTACAAAGAGAAGTCACTGATATTCAATGATGGCACATTCCGAAAGCTCATATTCCTCGATATCGATGGATTGGAGATTATTGAAACAGTTAACATTGAGAAGGGTGCGATGCCTGAACTTCAACAACTTTGGGTGAACAGGTGCCAGAAATTGAGCGATGATGATAATGGCTTGTCTGGAGTGTTACATCTCCTCAACCTTAACGAGCTTGTTCTGAAGAAATGTGGTCCTAAGGAGAAACTGGTGCAGCTATTGCAAAGCCAGCTCAGTACGCATGTCAAGCGCCCCAAGTTCCTAGTTGGAAAGTCCATATCACCAACTAGCTCAGAGGCGAGCACGAGCACGGCCACACAGACTGGATAGTGGAGAAAAATGGATGATGTACTTTATTGTCGCTACTTAATATGATTTTTCAAACAAGCCTCTGTTTCTTTTTTCATTGATGTACTACTTCATTTGTTGCCTCCCACTATGCCATTAACTCACTATGATTGATGTAGTCGTAAGGTCCTCCACAATATAGTGGAATAGAAGATAATAAGTAGTAAACACATTCTTGTTATCATGTAAGATACACCGTGGAGGTAGTAACTACCACTTCCAGGGCATAAGCTTACTACTAGGTATAAACTATTTATGGTGGGTTCCGCTTCTCTTTTTAAAATTATGGCATGACTCATGTTTGGGGATTTTATTTAAGGCAGGTTCCACCTTATATTACTCATCTACGTATTTATACATTGTGATGTCTCTCCTACCTAGTATTGTCAGCTGACATAGGTTCAACTTGGTCTCTAATTTTGCAACAAACATTGAGGATGCTACAATTTGCCTTGGAATGTTGCTTTATACTTGGTGGATTGGCCAGATCCCATCTAGTAAGTTTGTGTGAGCAATAGACACTCCTAAACCATATCAGCAATAGTGCCATACATTTTCTGTCAACAAGTTGGACATACAATATATATGGAGTAAAAAAAGAACATGTGCAGCCGTCACTAGGGGTGTAAGTGGCTAACCCGTAAACTCACTTAAGGCTTATTTTAACCTATAAGTGAGTTTATGGGTTAGCCATTTACACCCTTACCATTACTTCTACACAAATCCTTATAGGAGACACCTTAAATGTCCCGGTTCCTCTAAAACCAGCACTTATATGACCCCTTCCTACTTCTTGGACGTGTCTAAAATTAAAAACTGACACCTTTGATCCCTTATAATTATAAGTGTCAATTTTTTTTAATAAATCAAAACACTTATATTAGAGTTATAGGTATTGATTTGTCACTCAGTCACATAATCCGAATGAACCCACTCCAAGCGCAATGTTAATCCAAACCATAAAAAAAAAGGTTCAACATGGGCCACGGGTAGCACACTGCCTGCATCTTGTCATCATGTTCCCCATTATCGAACATGGTAAAAAAAAATGTTCCCCATACTCTCTCCTTATTGAGTAAAAAAAATATGTTTTGGAGAGTCAAACATGGGCCACGGGCAGCACACTGCCTGCATCTTGTCATCTGCGCTATGTCCACTCCCATTTTGTTCAGTTTTACTATAAATCACTCGAAAGATTTTCTTTTTTTCCATAGCCATCACACGCAATTCCTGACCATATGATGCGTGCATTGAGATGAAAAAATTGAAGGCAAACGCCACAACCTCTTGGTTGATGCCGTGTGGTTGTAACCAAATGAGCAAGCTATCAATCTTGTTATGATTTATATACAAATGATGTAATTGTAATTACACCATACTTATGCTTTAATTATATTAGTGTGATTTTTATTAAAGAAAATCTTTCGAGTGATATCTAGGTAGTCCCCATTTTAGTTTGATTTATATCCTTCATCTTTGCCACAACAACTTCTTTTTAGTAGAAAGGCATGAGATCTACCTTGGTTAAATTAAAAAGAGAAGCAGGCGTTGTTGGATATATCATCTTGTTTACTTTTCAGCCAACCACAAGCACAATTAGATTCAGCCGTTGTTGCGAATTAAAGAAGCAAGAAGTTCTTTTTGAATTTTCTTTTTATGGGAGTGCCGAAAAACTGTATAATGTCAAAACTAAGAGAAATGCTTAGAAATACCAGTCACATTCAACATTAAACCTTAGAAGATGATCAACTTCACAACAAGACAATAGGAGTATGGAGGAGCATGCAGTAGCAAGAGAAGAGGTTACAAATTTCTGCTGATCACGTGCTGGTTTATTTTAGCTATAGATAAATAAATCTGAAATTCAGATAATACTAACTAATGTTGCTAATCTTTTTTTATTATTTTAGTGGTTATTCCTGCAGTGTTCCTCGTGTACATGCATATTCATGACAACATGCATAATATTCCTCGTGTACTTCACAACGATGGTATAAAACTAAGAGAGAATCTATTTTATTCTACTGAGTTTACTCTACTTCGATAATTTGCTATTGATTTTGTCTTCCTCTATAATATACCATTGACTTTGTCAATTTTTTCTATAATGTACCACACTGAGGTGGATACTTTTTAAAAATGCCTAAAATATCCTTCAAGCCATACAAGAGTTGATAATTGATTGACTCATTAGAAGTTTTGAAAAAATATGAAAGTTTTTGTGTAGGCTTCTTACAGAATGTAGAAGTTTATGTATATATTTTAGGATTTTCTTCAATGTTTTTTTAAAACTATTTTTATGGCATATGAAAGATGAATCACATACACAAAACATAGCCGGATTAGAAAAATAATTTTATGTGTCATATGAAAGATGATTTATATAAAATAACATCAACGCATGAGTATTCTATTAGCATATTGAACATAAATGATATTTTCAAAAAAAAAATCAATACATGCAAATTGAAAGTCTTAAAATATACGCACACTTCATAATATTTAAGGAGGCTATGTAAAAATTTTCATATTTTTTCAATACTTTTCTAGTAGGTCAATCAATTATAAACCCTCTATGTATTAAAGGGCATTTTAGGCATTTTTTTGAAAAATATCCACCCCAATGGTATATTGTAGAAAACATTGACAAAATCGGTGGCATATTACTAAGGAAGACAAAGTTGATGGCTAACCGTTGAGTTGAAGTAAACTTAGTTGTATAGAATAATAGATTCTCTCTAAAACCAATCTTCAGTATGGCATTACAAATATTAATTTCAGCTTGATAGATATACTCATTGAATGACAACTTGATTCACCAAACCAACCTTCAATGAAGATCATTATTGATGCATACAACACACTGCAAACTGAAACCGCTGACAGTACTCCAGCTACATAGCATCACTCATCACAATACAGAAATGAAAGGGACGAACCCCCATCAGCATATTTATTTGTAGCTGAAAATACACTTCAAACTCAAACACGGGAAGCTGATTTTGACTGTTTAGATAGGATGCACGTAGGTACCAGCTGCATCGAGGTATTTCCCGCTGCGCCCAAAGAAGCCCACTATACTGGAGTTGTTCTGCACCGGGACGCTGAAAGGGGTTCCTTCCTACCGTCCAAATGGCCCATATGGTTTCTTATTGGTGACAAATTTAATAGATCTTATAACTTTCCATCCTTCATATAGGCCATACGTTCCAGAAACTTCCTTGAGAAGCTCTGAACTGCCAAATTCAATCTACACAAAGAAAAGGAAAAATATAAAAGTATGGTAAGAAATTTACTACCCAATATATTAGTATTTTCTTTTCATTAATTGTGAGTGTCTGGTGTGAGCTGGGCGAGCGTCTATCCAAAATATAGTAGTAAATTACTAGGTTTATATATTTTTGAACAAAGGGATAGATGATTGTTACTCCAAAATATAGTACTCCCTCCGTTTTATAATGTAAGTCATTCTAGCATTTTTCACATTCATATTGATGTTAATGAATTTAGATAGATATATATGTCTAGATTCATTAGCATCAATATGAATATGGGAAATGCTAGAATGACTTACATTGTGAAACGGAGGGAGTATCAAATACAGATCGTATTGGAAGTTCACTAACCATGTAGGGATCCCCACCAGGACCACCCCATGGACCTGCTCTGTGCTTCTGTCCAGCTTGGTCCAAGTAAATAAACGATATCGAATCTGTTGAGTTGTGATCCAAATTCATTTGTACTTAATAAAGGCCAGCATGTAAATAATCAGTTTGGCTGAAAGGATTGTTTGCTGAGCTTTGTGGAGTTGATTCTTGCATTAACTTGTTTTGTGACAGTCAAAGTGCTATATGCCTCACCAAAGATCAGATGTTTCATTAGAGGACAAAGCACATTGATATCAAGTACCATTATGTTCACGATGTAGTCGCGCAAGGTAAGCTAAAGGTATGCAAGATAAGTACTCATGATAATCCTGCTGATATAATGACAAAACCTGTTCCTGTTGCTAAGTTTGAGCTTTGCTCAAGCTTAGTTGGTATAGTGGTTTAGCCCGAGAGGCTATTTGGCGCCGAAAGTGTTTTTTTTTGTCTTTGTTGTGTTCAGGGTAAAGGATTGATTCATGCTACAAGAAGGAATTTGTCTCAAGGTGGAGTTTGTTGAGTTGTGATCCAAATTCATTTGCACTTAATAAAGGCCAGCTTCTGCCGTACGGATCATCATCCCTTTTAGGGTTCCACTATATATATACCTCTTGTAAGCCGCCGTGCGACGATGTAACCTCACCTCAGATATAGTGAAGATATTTTGCTGGCTGGCGCCCGTGGTTTTTTCTCTCCTGTTTTGGGAGGGTTTTCCACGTTAAATCTCGTGTCTTTTGTGATTGATTTATTATTCTTTATCGTTTGTTCGCCTATCGTTTCCTAACAGAATCAACATTCCAGCTGCTATGTATTGTAATGGATTCTAGACGCTTTGGAATTGCTGTGATGTCTTGAGCTCTCCCTCCATCAATTCCGCCGCAAGGCCCAATCTTGGTGACAAGGCTCTGCATATATGTAAATCTTGCATATTCCATATATATTGATATTGCACGTCAAGTGATTCATAACATTTAACAAAGCTAAAAATAGATTATTTTGTCCTTAATTACCTGTGACCCTTTCAAGACAGGACAAAATCCCTGGATAGTGAGTTCCATAATATTGCCTTCTTGTTTCTGTTCGTGGAATTTTTTGAAGATAACACCATTTGCCATAGCAAACTGTCCCGTGCCCCCAACAATAGCCCACTCACCTCGTTCAACGACTATCCCCATCACCTCAAGTGTGGATCCCTTGAACGTGTAGCACATACATAAAACACCACATCGACCAATAGGTTACTGCCACGTTATAATTGATTGAGAAAAAAACTAATGGCCAAAATACAAGTGTAGAACTTAGCTTTCATTATAGTGTGATTAAAAGAGCTAGAGTAGTGTATCCATCCTCGTGCATGCATGCATACATACGCATACACATATATACATACAGATCAATATACTCCCTCCGTCCCTAAATATTGGACGCCGTTGACTTTTTTAAACATGTTTGACTGTTTGTCTTATTCAAAAACTTCTATCAAAAACTATATGTATACATACAACTATATTCAACCATGAATCAAATGATAGGAAAAGAATTAATAATTAATTAAATATTTTGAATAGACAAACGGTCAAATATGTTTAAAAAAAGTTAACGGTATACATTACGCTCCTTTCATCCTTAAACACAAGGCTAAAGGAGTTATGCCAGTTACCGGCGTAAATGTGCAGGCCTTGTGCACGGGCAACGACCTTGGCGTCGCGGCCGATGCCGTCATACACCGGCCAGTTGTTGACGACCAAGGGGCCCAAGCCGGTTTCTCTGTTATTGCCTGTAAGCCCGGACTGGTCTGGTCTTGGACCAGCCGGCGTGTGGTGCAGGTAGAGCATGCTGAAGTTGATCTCGTTGCCCTGAAATAGCGAGCTACGTGGGGTGAATTGCAGCTTGTTGTTGCTGGCCGACATGGCTGAGAGCTAGCTAGCTGCTGGTGGCAGATCAGAATTGGTGTGTGCTACTGTGGCTGTGGCTGTGAGCGATGCGATAGACTGAAGCTGGCGTGTATGTGGTATTTATAGATAGAGATTTGTTCCGGTGAAAAAAAAATACCTCGAGGTATCGGTGCCTTACAGTATTAAATTATTTCTGATCGTTGGATCTAGCTGAGTAAGATGGATATTGTTAGATCCAACGATCGAAAACAATTTGTTACCGCGTGAGGTACTGGTACCTCGGGGTATTTTTATTGGACCGAAGCAAATCTTTTATAGATAAGGCCGCCACACGATCGATAAGTGCACGTTTATACGTACGCTGTGTTAGGGCTTAATTAAAACTAGAAGAGAGAGAGCGCGTAAGAACTACGCGTTTGTCGTTTGCTTTTGTGCATGTGTGGTAACGGGGCGAGGTAGTTTCTGTGCGTGGCTTGTGTGTTCTAAGGTTCTGTGGCCGTGTTGATCTGCGTATATATGCTTCTCGATCGGTGTGGATTTGTTTTACCTTTGTGCTTTGGTGTTGAAGGCTGTGCCTGTGTTGCTTGTTGCTTCTGTGTGCAAGCTTCATCGATCTTTTTTTTTCTTTTGAAACCCTCTGCCATTTTTATTTTTATATTTTTTTCTCGAAAATGGAATCAGAACAGTAGACCCGAAAACGATAACAATATCAATAATAACGATATATTGAAAACGGGACTGTCGGAATGAAATCTACCGATATTGGTCGGAAGTCGAAAATTCATGTCGGAAATAACGGAGTGTGACATAACCACACATTTAACTATGCATGAAGATAAATTTATAACTTCATTATTGAACCATCACACTTCACGTAACACCATGATGTGATGATTGATGATATAATAATAAGTCCGACGAACAATATAATTACAAAGGTCAACAGTTCTTCAACATCGATAAGTTGAAAAGACCAAAGTTCAGCAAAGTCCACATGCCACACTCTAGGGTTAACACGTTTTCCCCTGGACACTTCTCCTTTCTAATAGGCTAAAAGCTTATTAGGCTTCCTCAATTCATGGGCTTCCGATGGGTTGGGCTGGCTGGGACACTAGGAATGTTTTGGAATTTTGATAGAAATTATTAGACAAATAGGGTTATCAACAAAACGGTCGAAAAAACCTCCATCCCATTTTGCTACCATTTTTGGAACATATTACCATTTCCATTTCCAACACCAACTATTGCCTGCACCGACTGAAATGATCGGTGCAAACCAGAAACAGCAGCCTGAAATCTCGAAGATTTTCGTACCGTTTTCACTCCTATTGGAGAGAGTGGGTGGCACATACTACTATCGGAACTCACTTCGGTGCCAGTAGGGAATCCCATATAGGAGCTAGATTTTTCAGCCGGCACCACGGAGATGGTATTGATGAGAGGGACTCATCGATGCCAGATTGAAAATCTGCACCTATGAGTTGTACTACATTTCTGAAAAAACAAAACAGGCTCGTCTTAATTCAAGCGGAGGTGATGCTCCATAAAATAAATCACAAAATCCTTTTAAAAAAAGAGTCACAAATTCACATCATAGAATATGCTGATGGATTGAGAGTAGGGAGATGGGAGAGGGAGAGAGGAAGCCAAATGGATAAGGACAGGGAGAGTGAGAGAGGTGAATGGTTAAGGTCGGTTTCTTATCCCACCCCGCTCAGCTTCACCTACCGCTCAATAGGTACCGGTTTTCAAAAAACTAGAATGATAGCTAATTTTAAATATGTTGATTAGAAGAAAAAAACCGGCACCTATATTTTAGGAGGAATATATATAGGTGCCGGTTCCTATTAACATCCAGCATACATATGTTGCCACATAGGTGCTGTTTGTGTTGAATAGAACCCTGCAGGCGTGTGTTCGGGTGGAAAAAATATTATAGGTGTCAGTTCTAGACTTTCCGGCACATATAGTGTCATCTCATTTTTCCTATTACATATGTAATAGTGTGGTGGCTATGGGCTATTGCAGCAAGGAGTACTACTGAACATGCGAGCGAGGAGCTTCTTCTATATATCTTTGTTGTAGATCGTTAATTTATATATACCCTTTGTTTTACCTTTCAAAGATGAGTGCGTTAAGGACTCAAGGTTCATATCTTTCCTGAAGGAGGATGTGTGTAAGTGTGTCATGGTGTGAGTGCGGTGTGTGTAAGTGTGCGTCTTGAGTTATACCCTTCTCAAAAAAAAAAAGATGAGTACATCAAGGACTCAAGGTTCATATCTTTCCTAAAGGAGGATGGCGGCAGAAGCTGTTGACTCTCTTGTAGGATCTCCCGACCCGTTTATCATGTCAATCGAGTTGTTGGTAGACACCTTGACGTAAAAATAAATTTTACTCGTGTATTGTTACGATGAATGAGTATTCATAAAAGAATTATTCACTGATAACATAACATCATCAACCTCACAATTAGGCATCCCTACAAATCAGAAATTACATCAACAATCAGGAAGCACGACAAGCGAGTAACGCTAGAGGCCATATCCCAGACCAGGCGGATATCAGATCAATCAACAATTAATAATCACAGGTAATGACAATGACAAGGATCGGAGGCAGATTGGGCTAACAGCTGCTGCGTGGGGAGGAGGCAGCCAGTGAAGATGTCATGCCGGTGAGCTACAGAGAAACCAAACGGCGATGTGGGAGACCACGGCGGTGGCTGCATGGCCTCCACAGTTGTTCCCGTACGTCTTCTCTTCTAGTGCTGATCTCTACGCCTCACTGTGGCGAGGCGGTGGCAAGGAGCCTACGCAGCCCGGCGAGATCCGTCGGCGGCAACGTCGTCTTATCTTACAACAATAATCCATAACAATGTGGCAGAATGGAAACAAATCCAACGACGGCGAGGAGGGCACACAGAAGCTTCACCATCCTCAACTCCTTGGCGCGCCTCTCTTTGTCCTTCAACAAACCATCGATAATGCCTGCGATACAACTCAGGTTAATTAGGAATATCCACACACTGCTACTGATGAAGGGCTTCCGTCTCAAACTACGATTTAGACCTGTGGCAGTAAAATTTAGTTGTGGTCTAATTAAGCAAGCTCATCCGAAGAGCTACTTGGTGAAAAACAATCTGTTGTTCCTTATCATATCACTCTAGGAAATTTTCAAGCAGACAAAAATAATCTAGCTCTGTATGTAATGCTTGAAGGAAAAATCTTCTATCAATAATCACGTTTCATAGAGATGATGTGCAAGATAAGGTGATGAATCGCATCATGTGCTTTGCCTTGCATCCAAACCGTTCCATCCATATCTCTCTTTTCGTCAGTAGACGTTAATTTACTGTAGTAAATTTTATTCTAGTGGGCAAATAATTATCAAGTGAACACTATATTGGTAGTTATATGACAACGGAGCTTGAGAAAAAAGAAAGAGGCTAACCATATACTCTACATAAACACTAACTCCAGGGAAACTATATTTTAGTTTGCACATACAGTGATGGATTAATTAGAGGAGGCAAAACTATAATATGCAGTTTAAGCTTCTAGATTCTATTCTTGGCTATGCACATACAGATTCCAAAACATAAGAAAAGAATACCAAAATACTCCATAATGTATAGGAAGAGAATACGTCGACAAAAGTATACACCAATGAGTAATGTTTACCTCTAGATATGGAAGAGCAGACGATATTTGTGTCCAATTTGAAGGGCTCCCGTGTGTAAAACACATACCACCTTCTCCTGATGCGCATTTCACCTGCATATCCACTGATTTGCTGGATATGGCTGATCTTGTCCCAGTCAGAGCAAGAGGCCCCCATTGATATGTTACCAAGCAGTGGCAAACTACAGTCCAGCACCAAACTCTTTGGCTTTACATCTTGTAGATATCCTGGGAGTGTTTTCATGCTGAAGTCTAGCAGATAGAGCTTTTGCAGCGCAGGTATTCCCTCCAATAGTTTGAGCTTTGGGCAGTAATTAATGCTAAGCACTTGCAGTTTTGGGACACCTCTGATGCTCTCCATGTCAGGGTTTTTATACAGGTGAAGCTCCACAACTGAAGGCAAATTCTGTAAAGACTTGAGGTTATGGACCATGAACAATTTGAGAACACTCAAAGCCCTGGCATGTTCTCAGCAAGTCCAAGAGGAAGTTGTCGCAATTTGCACCTGTCTAGTGTAAGCTCATGCAGGAGTGGCATGGCTTGAATGTGTTCCTCCCACACCCATTCCTCCAACTCCAGCACTACTGTAAACTCTAGCGTCTCTAATATAGGAAATGCAACCGCTGCTCGGGAAGGATGGCAATCACCATTGTGTTGCTGTATCTGCAGGAATTCATGCCCGATGCGCTCAATGGCTGGGGCACGCCTGATCTGTAGAAGCTTCAAACAGGAAAGCTGACACAAGCCATCAGGGAGTTTGGTGCAGCAAGGCAGGCCATCCAACTTAAGACTCGTCAATCTATCAAGCCTCACAGATGCTTTTGATGTCATCCACTTTGGGAGCTGCCAACCAAAATATCCTCTGATGTAAAGTTGTTCTAAGCAGTATGAAGGGCACAACTCATCAAAAACCTCCTTGATTCGTCGCTGCTCGTCTATAGAAATGATTCCTTCCTCTTTCAAGAATCCATCATCTCTCTGCCTATCAGTGCACTCTAACCACCATATGGCAAGATGTTTCTTGGCACCAAGCATGGCCTTTGCAGCGGAAGAGCTGGCAGATACATTCTCCAAACCCTTTATATGGAGATCCCTGAGCTGAGAAAGAGGTCCCAGCTCCTCCAAACTACACCACTCATCTTTTGATGAACTGCTACCCATCTGAGCTGGAAACGAGTATAATGTTCTCAAACTTGTAAGGCGACCAAAACCCCTAGGTATACTTTTTATGTTTGTGCCCATAAGGTTAAGAGATCTTAGCCGCTCTAGTTTTATAATGCTACCAGGAAGTTGTTGTATTTGTTCACAGCATGTAATCCCAATGTACTCCAAGAATTTCATCTTGCCGATGCCATCTGGCAGGCTACGTATGTCAGTACGGGAAAAGTACAAGTGCCTCAAGTTCTTCAATTGGCATAGAGAATCAAAAGTAGCAAGTTGTGCATATACTATACTCAGAACCCTTAAGTTTGAGAATTTGCTGCATAAATCATTGGCCTTCAACTTGATATGAGTACTTCCATAAAAAAATAACGTTCTAACTGAGTTTTGTTCTTGCCATGCACTCCAATCTAATTCATTCTGTATGCACAACCAACGATATCTATTTGAATCGAGGTCAGTGACTCTAAGATGTTCCATATGAAAGGGTAGTGCTTCATCTTTAGCCACATGTCGACAAAATGAGCGAACCACATCATGCATGGTCCAATTATTATTGTCGCCGGGCATTGTCTGTAAAAGGTTCCTTATGATTAACTCATTGTAATACTCCTTTCCTAGTTCTTCCGGTTCATTTGATTTTCCATTAACAAAACCTTCACTAATCCATACTTCAACAATCAAATGTTTATTGGGTTTACCATATTTAGGGAAGAGTGAGCAATACAAAAGGCATTGCTTCAAATGAGGGTCTAGGTCATCGTAGCTTAAATATATTGCATGGTTTATCTCTTCAGGCATTCCATCCACTAACCATGAAGGACTTCTTAGTACCTTTCCCCACTCAATTTCATTTATCTCTTTGTGGTTCAAAAGCCCTGCAATCGCTTTGATAGCTAGCGGTAAACCACCACATCTTTCTAAAATTCTAAAGCCAGTACTCTTTAGCTTCTCAATCGCATACTCATCTTTCAAAGTTGAAGCAATCTGCAAGCGGTTGAAGCCCATGATGTTAATACATATAGGCTAGATTTGCGATTGATCGAGAAGGGTAATTTGTGCATTTGCCAAACATAGAATTCTTAGCTATTATTTAAGTTAGCATTTCTATTACTTCCCGGTCTAAATTTAATTAGAGTAACCTTACAGTTGGTTGTTTACTTCATACTCCCTCCATTTCAAAATGTCACTGACTCTAAGTTGTCCCATTTGAGATGATAGTGCTTCATCTTTAGCCAAATGTTGACAAAATGAGCGACCGACATCATGCATGCTCCATTCACTATTGGGCATTGCCTGTATAAGGTTCCTTATAATTAACTCATTGTAATACTCCTTTCCTAGCTCTTCCGGTTCATTTGATTTTCCATTAACAAAACCTTCACTTATCCAAATTTCAACAATCAAATGGTTATTGAGGCATTGCTTCAAATGAGGGGCTAGCTAGGTCATCATAGCTTAAATATATTGCATGGTTTATCTTTTCGGGCATTCCATCTACTGACCATGAAGGACTTGGTACTTTCCCCACTCAATTTTATTTATCTCTTTATGGTTCAAAAGCCCTGCAATCGCTTTGATAGCTACAAGTAAACCACCGCATCTTTCTAAAATTCCAAAGCCAGTACTCTTTAGCTTCTCAATCGCATACTCATATTTCAAAGTTGAGACAACCTGCAAGCGGTTGAATCCCATAACGTTAATAGATATAGGATGCATTTGCTTACCTACTTTTTTTTTTACTTTCTTTAGTAACGAAGATGATCATTCTCTTTGTTTTTTGATCTAGAAGGGTAATTTGTGCATTTGACACACACAGAATTCTTAGCTATTATTTAATTTAGCATTTCTATTACTTCCTGGTCTAAATATATTTAGAGTAACCTTACAGTTGGTTTGTTTACTTCATAATCTGCAAAAACTCTCCAACCCTTTGCGTACTTTCCAATATGTCTGCTTCACTACAGTATAACACATCATATATATCTTGCAATCTCTATTTACATTCATTAAACCTATAAACCTATATAATTCATCCCCTCTTAGTGTACTTAATAGCTATTTCCTGATATTCCGTGCTTCCACATCATCAAGAAATGCATTGCCCGTTCGATCGAATCTGGATACCCCTAATAAATACTTTGTCTCTCTATTCACAAGCTTACTATTGTAATTGGACCCATCTCAATCCATATTTTCCTCTCCTTCTCCACACCCAGCATGAGCCACCGGCCTCATACTCTGCCATGACGAGCGCAAATGGCATCTCCTACTCTCCCACATGACCTCCCGATCGCTTCACACTCCCCTTACCCTCCAACTCCCTCCCCCACTTCTAAGGCCCAGCGCTCCACCACAATGTGTTTTTATACAGGCACGGCCTTATCACTATTGGCTTCTATAGGACAATTTTATATGTATGCTTTGTGTGATTTGATAATTTTGTTGTGTTTATTTAATTTTAGGAGCAAGTGGCTTATAGTATGCTCAAGCTTTTCCCTAAGCAGGTATTTATTTGGCTGGATCACGTTGAGGGGTGGATAAAAATCTGACACAATCAATGCGTGCTGTATGGATTCTCAAATCCTTCCCTGTTTATGTGTTATGATGCTAGGCATACTCCTGTTAATGCTTCCATATAATGACTGCAAGAGTATAATGTTTCCTTCAAATATAAGATAGCATATTGATAGGTTGGTATTCCGTTCTCCTTATCTTAAGCTTTGTATACTCCTACAAATTTATTTGCAGAAGCATGGCATTTTTGTGCCTCGTATGTTTATGTGCCATTATGTTCACATAACTAGGCCTCACTATATTGTTGTCCATGTCTACTCTTATATCTCCATCTTACCCTTTTCACTTAGAATTAGTCACTTTTTTTAACTAGCTGACCTAAGTTGGTTCTGTAGAATACGTCAAACTTGCTCAGAGTTTTGCCATTCACTAACTGATGATATGCTTATTTTCTCTTTTGCTCCAATCAGATAAAAAAAAGTAATTATCACCCAGCTCCTATATTTTCTTGATTTGCACAAATGATTCTGAACATTCCCCTAGAGTTTCCCTATAAAATACCTTGGATTGCCACTACTTCTTGGAAGGATGCGCAAGACGGATATTCAACCAATCTTCGATAAGATCGCAGCACGGGTCACCGGCTGGAGGGGAAAAACATGGGACCAGTAGGGAGATCAACTCTGGTCAAGTCAATGATGACAGCGCAGCCCATCTACCTACTCACCACCCTCAAGGTCACCAAAGAAGCCGTAGGCCTCCTCGAAGTGAAGAGAAAGAGGTTCCTATGGAAATGCAAAATAAACTAGAAAAAGATGTGCCTCCCAACCTTGAACCGGGAAAAACCGGAACCAGCTCCTCAGCCGGTTCGATTTGCTGCAAGGACTGGACATGCAATCGAACCGGTCACAACCAGATGAACCGGGCAGTTTTTGGTGAAAACCGGTGAATCCGACGCCTCTGAACCGGCGGTTCTGGCGAGCACGTGGAGCAGGCTACAAAGGCCCACTAGGCCCAAGTCATGCATGTGTCATTTTTACTGAATAAATGAAAAAAGGGTGGGAAGATGGGATTCAAACCCTGGTTGCCTCATTACAAACTCAATAACTAAACCAACTAGACCACTTATGCATGTTGTTCAAGGGAGAATATACATATAATATGAATGCTCCGGTTCTGCAGTCGAACCGGACGACCCAGCGGTCAGACCTGTGAGCCGGTGAACAAGAAGCTTGACCGGTTCGATGGCCGGTCCGGCTTTTTGCACTATGCTCCCAACCGTGCAAAGAGGACTGGGAGTTCTTAACATGGAGAAGTTCACGAGGGCCCTGCGCCTGAGATGGCTCTGGCACGAATGGAAAGACCCCACCAAGCCGTGGGTGGGCCTCAAGACACCATGTGATGAAACATATAAATTGCTCTTCACCACGACCACTACAATAACGATTGGGGATAATAAAACGATTCGCTTCTGGGACTCATCCTGGCTAGATGGGCAAAGGCATTATGCCACTACCCTATGCAGTCTCCAAAAATAAAAAGAGAAAAAAATACTACGTGAAGGAATAAAAAACGACGTTTGGATTGATGATCTGGACTTAAATGGCAGCACCCATTTCACAGTGGATCTGATCAACAAACTCGTGTCCCTGTGAGACACAACCCAGAGCATCCTTCTAGATCAAAACAAGCCTGACCATACTGCCTAGAAGCTTTCAAGCCATGGAGAATACTTGGGAGCGTCGGCTGATAGAGCGATGCATGGGAACCATAGGTACCAATTTTAACGGCTTAATATGGAAATCATGGGCTCCTACAAAGTGCAAATTTATGCATGGCTTGTGATCCAAAATAGAGTTTGGACTTCTGATCAACTCGTAGCCAGAGGTTGGCCAAATAGCGGGACATGCCCCCTCTAACGTACGTCAACTGAAACAGCAAGCCACCTGGTTGCCCAATGTAGATACACCAAAAGAATTTGGAGCCTAACTACCGCATGGGTAGCATATCAACAACTAGACCCGAGTCACTAGGACCCATGCCAAAGCGTTAACGACTGGTGGGAAATGTTAGCCAACTCAAAGGAAGTACCCAAGAAAGGCATGCGGACCCTAATCCTACTCGTCGTCTGGGAAAGCTCGAAAGAAAGAAATTAGCGGGTTTTCGAGCACAAGGAGATGGCAAAATTAAAGGAGGCAAGAACTTGGGCTATGGGAGGAGCAAGGCAGCTTCGGGATTTTGTTTCGAACCAACCATAGGTGCCATGTAGCTCTGTACATTTTTTTTCCTTACCCCTAGCCCTAGGGGTTGTATTTTTTACCTCTATATTTAATGAAATAGCACAATCTCGTGCTGATTCCTTCAAAAAAAAATGAAACTAGTTAAATAGCACCCATTCCACATGGTTTTATTATTAGGTGGTGGTGATTGTGCATGCATAACTGACATAACATTTGATCCACAAGATTAGAGACAAAAAATGGTTGGCATACCTAGTATATCTATTACTCCTTAAAAAACATCTAGTGGAGGTGACAGTGAATCTGCCACCCCACTATTGCTTTGGCTGTTTTCAGAAATTACCTACAGATATTTTCTAATATTGTGGAATCATCGAAAATTTGGTTTAAACAAGTGAATAGCATATAATCAAATAAACAAACAAGTGATACTAAGATATCTATTATATATTAAAAGTCCATGAAACTTCCTACAAATGCTCCTAAGCCACCATGTGTCGCTCCTACAAACGCTTATAAACCGCCAAGTGGCACTACAAAATCTAATCGTTCATTTTTCTTTAAATTAGTGGGTCCAATATTTTCAACCATTAGATCTAATAAAAAACAAAACTCCCCTATCTCCATGTATCCCCATCTCCCCTCCTCCTGTTGGTACGTACATACTTCACTCCTCTCCTCATCTCTTTTTAATTTCTTAATCTCTAATTTAAGCCACATATCTTATTTTTATTGTTAATTAAATAAATAATTTAATATCTATGCTGTTCTATGCGCCATATGCTTTCTATGGCAACCAAATATAACAAGGAAAAAAAATTTCACTATAAAAAAGTTAATAACATATTTTATGTTACTTTAAATAATTCTACAAACATGTGTCGCTAAATTGTATCGACGATATCCAATCTATCTATTATATAGTGAAAGCCCATCAAATTTCCTATAAATGCTCCTAAACGCCATGTGACGGCTCCTATAACTCCACGTGACGCTCTAATAAATTAGATAAAAAAGAAACAACTAGCTTTGATTTTCACTAAAACAACTAGCTCTAATATTTTTTTCTCTAACTGTTCTCTCATTATAACTAAATTAACAATATAAGATACATATGCCTATATTTTGCTATATAATTATAGCATTTGGGTGCAATCCACCGGTGCAGTTTGCGCGCCATCTAAATACCTTATAATCTAACAACAAATATTATATTACTATGAATCATTCTACATTCTACAAACATGCATAGCTAAATTAAATATATAGTATCGAAATAAAAATTTAAAAAATACATATTCAATTTGCTAAAAGAAAAAGAAATAATTCAACAATATAGGTCGCAGCATGATATGTTTGAAAACATGTATAGCTAAACACACTACATAAGCAAGAGTAACTAACTGAAATATAAATAGTCTGAGCCACTATATAAAAAATCGAGTGCCTTTTAGTAGAGAAAATATTAAGTTTTTTTTCTAAATGTGCTCAAATAATCCAAACAAGCTAAATGATCTTCTATTTAATATTCCACCTTTATAAGTTTCTCAAACACGGTCTACGATTCATGCCCGCGCGAATGCGTGGGCTACCTTCCTTGTTTGATAAAAAGTATATTTTGCTGTGACATATTATGATATTATTTTCTTCTGCCCAAAGCAAAGCTTGGGTATTTTGCTAGTGTGTACAGTGTGTTACTTTTAATGAAACTGCAAATACATGTTAATGTTGGAAAGTGCTTTCATGGATATTAATTAAGAATATATTTTATGAGTAATCAAGTCAAAGGTTAATCTTGAAGACTTTACCAATACATAATAGGATTTTCTACAGAGGGAATAATTACCAAAATAAATACTCTGAGGCAGGAGTAAGAAATAAATACGAACCTGTTTCTTGAGTAACAACCAGGCATCTTGCCGAGATAATATGTCCACGCGGTGGTACGGCTGTATGGCCTTCATCTCTCGGGCAACTCTTTCGTCTCTGGTGGTGATGAGAACCCAGCTGCCTTGAGCAGCCGAGTTAACTAAAGGGATTCTTAATGAATTGTTCCAAGCATGGACGCTCCACATATCATCCATCACCAAAAAGATTTTCTTTCCAGATATTGCTTCTCGAAGGATTGGCTGAAGCAGGGACAGTTCTTGATGCCCACTGTGCTCACCACCGGCACCAGTGATGGCCGTCCTCACCAGCTCAGGATCACTGAATTCCTGGTTAATGCTCAGCCATATTATTTTGTCGAACTTCTCCTTGATGTCCTGGTGGTTGAAGATGTTCTGTGCGAGGGTAGTTTTACCAATACCTCCAACACCGACGATGGCAACGACCCTGACGTTGCTGCTGATACTCGCCGCACTTGCCTCTTCCTCCTCCCTCGTTAGCAACTCCACCAGTCTCCTTGTATCTTGCTCGATCTTATTCCCGACAACGCCTGACCGATCAAGCTCTGGTGTTGTCCGGCGTAAGCCATGGCCTTGAGCTGTCCTGCTGCAGTCACCGTAGCGATCGAGCTTGATGAAGCTGAATTGCTCGGCACGCTGCTTGATGCCATCAAGCCGCTGGTTCAGCGCCATGATGCGGCTTCCAATGTGGTGGGCGTTCAAGGGATTCCGCAGGGAGAGTAGCGACGGGTTGTTGCTGCGCCTACTGTCCTGATCCATGGCTTTGAGCTGACACAGCTCCAGGATGTCCGTGGCATCGTACATGGCATCCTTGAGCTCCTTCACCCAACCCTGCACGTGCAGATCGGTGATGCGCCTCCGCTCCGCGTCGGCGAGGAACTCCTTGAGCCCATCAAGCCTGACGCGGAGGCTGTCGATCTTGTCAGAGATACCAAGCAGCATGCCCACCTCCTTCCTCGCCATCTTGGCAAGCACATTGCTCAGGTTGGATGCCAAGGCCTCCAGAACCACAGCCATCAAGGCTGAACGAGTAGTGCTTCTGCATCTCAGATTTAACCAGCTTGTCAGTTTTTACATACATATATAGCAATAAAACAGAAAAGGTGCTCTAAAGGATTGTGTACCTGGCTTTAATTAGTATGCAACTTCTCCGATCCTGTTCAGAACCAAGTAGATTGATGAAATGGAATGGTGGCACAGAGCTCAATATATACACATATTGAGCCATTTTTAATTAATACAATCTATTTTCTAACCCTACTCAATGGCTTTCCTAATCCTGACAGCAATGTGGATGCAGGACACCTCACGCGAGCAGCCACGTATTAGATTATCAAGAATCTTAGTCAACAACGAAAAGGGGATCAAATTTCAAGCGAACTGATTGTTGTCTCCATCCATATTGTGGAGATATCTAAGAATATGCCATCTCCTAACAACTAAACAAAACTGATTTCAAACAAAACTGTTGACGCAAGTTAAATTGTACTGAAATAAACCATCTCTGCACTGCACTAGGAAGTTGCCGCGTCACTTTCCACTTCCAACAAAATAATCTCAGATGTTCTGCTGTAAACATATCTGTTTCTTTAATAGAAATGGGAGGGGGTAACATCTATAGTTAAAAAAACTAAATAATCTCAGGTGGCTGCATCAGCATCAACCTTCACTTTTAGATTAGCTTATCACAATGTGTTGACTCGGGACTTCTCAATATTTTTGGTCACAGTTTGTTGGAACATTGCAATCAGTGTTCTGCTCTTCTAGCCCATGAATCTCGGCCACAACTACGCCATAAAATTATCATACATGCTGTGAAGTTTGTACATGACACAGAAATTCCAATGTACCTATGTCAAATAAATCTATCAAGAAACTAATGGGGTCGCTGCTCTCCCTTGGAGAATCAGTAGATGGAAAAACTCTTCTTTTTTTTTCTTTGAACGAAACATACAAACTGTTATGTGGCAAGAATATTTCCTGGTATTGGATTTTTTTTTCTTCAATATTTCCTGCTATTGGATTTGTCTGACAGAACATTTGATGGTTGATATAAGTATCAAATACATGTGCTTCATTCTTTGCCCAACTAAAGGTGCCTTCTCTGACTGGTGCGAATTATTAGTGCTAAGCTATTACCAACAAAATTTCAATCAGAGAATCACAATGGTTTTGTTTCGATAATGGGAATAAAAGCTCAATGAACAATGATGTTTCCATGTTTCATATATTGCTTCAGTAGTTCAAATGTGTCAAGATAGGAAATATCGTAGATCCAACAAAAAAAAAAGGTGCAGATTTCCTAGGAAATAAAAAAATGAAACAAAATTGAAAAAAAATACATTACCCTGCCATGACGTCACCGATGGAGCTGCTGCCGCTTCAGCTACCCTTGGTGCAGAGCAAGGCAACGCGGACGCAGCTCACCCCCACTATCCAGCACACGCTGGGATCCCCAATCCAGGCCTCAGGCTGCTCATCTGCATTGCCCCACGGCCGCAGCCGTTCCTGCAGTGTTGGGAGAGAGATGGGGAATAACCCCGCACGAGTTCACCATGGAGAGCACCACACTGCGGAAATACGACCACCTGCTGAGGGATGACTATCTTATCGGCGCCGATGGCCATCTCCGGCTGCCTCTCCTGCCGAAGTGGTTTTTGCTGCTGCGGATCTGGAGGTGGAAGAAGACCCAGGGGCGAAAATGACATTCTGGGCTTGTTCACTTTATTGCTAAAATCGACCTTACCTAAATTCGACATCTTTCTAAATTTTGATAGTGTTTTAATGAGAGGAAACTTTTGAAACTATCAAATTTTGGTAGAATTCCATTGGTAAGATCATGTGTAGTTTGTAACCTTAACGAAATTTGGTAACACAAAAATTTGGTAGGATTGAACATAACAATAAAATGAACATGCCTTTCATATTAGTGTTCCACGTTGATGCGTCTTATACGTAGGTGGAACAAAATTAAAAGAGTCTTGTCTCTCTAGCGACAATTTCCTTAAAAAAATGAGCAATTCTACGGTCCTTGAGGAGGTACCATGAGGTACCAAAAAAATTAGTGTAAATTATGAGGTACCATGAGGTACCAAATTTACAATAGAAAAATTGGTACCTCCTCAAGGACCGTAAAATTGCTCTAAAAAAATTATTAGGGACAAATCTTATAATGGCATTTGGAGATTGGCCACTTGAGTTGCAAATAGTTAAATTTCCCCTCAAATGCAATATATGTCATGAAAAATCATGAAGAAAAAAAAAAGAAGACCATATAGCGTAGTGACATATATCATCTCACCAAATTTCTATTGTATAATCAATTGAGCAATGAGAAGAAAAATTCGGATGCATATAATATTTGTATTGCTTATATCTCGGATTTGTCTCTCATATTTTTTAGATGTTACGTTCGAGTTGAGTTTAGACTTGAACATTTGAACATTTAAGATGGTATACATTTCCTAGCTAAATGATATCAAATGTTTTAAAAGTTGTATCTAATTAGTTACTATGTATTTAGAGGTACAAGGGAGATCTGTCAAGTTCTCCGGGAATGGAAACTTATACTTCTATTCATACAATATGTGACGGTATCACATACTATAGTATTTCTTCTAGGAATCACATATTATAGTATTTCTTCTAGGAGTACTTCATATGTCTTTGGTTCAAAGTTCAAACTAGACAATTGTTCATACGGGTGAAAACAGATCGGACATTCGCTTCGTTCCTAATCCGTCTGAAACAAGGATATGGTGGGGCTTGTAGAAATTCGGCGAATACGAACCCGGATACGGATATATAATATCCTGTTATGATCCAAGTAGATTGACAAAATGGTTTGGTGGCATCGAGCAAAATATATAGACGTATGAGAACTTTCTCAATTCATACAATGCGCATGAAGGACACATCGCGCGACCAGGCACGTATTATATTATCACGAGTCTTGGTCAACAAACAAAAAGGATCAAATTTCAAGCAGAACTGATTTTCAGTTGTCTCCGTCCATATTGTAGAGATATCTAACAATATGCCATCTCCTAGCAACTAAACAAAACAGATTTCAAACAAAACTGTTGACGCAAGTGAAATTGTATAGAAATAAACCATCTCCGCACTGTACTAGGAAGTTGCCACATCAATTTCCACTTCCGACTAAATAATATCAGGTGTTCTGCTATAAACTTATTTGTATCCTTAATAGAAACGTACGGGACGGCAACCTCTCTGGTCAAAAAAATAATCTCAGGTGGCTGCATCAGCAAACTTCACTGTTAGAATAGCTTATCAACAATGTATTGACTCAGGACATCTCAATATTTTGGATCACGGGTTGTTGGAACATTGCAATCAGTGTTTTTGTTCTTCTAACCCATGAAGCTTGGCCACAAACTATGCCATGAAATTATCATACATGCTGTGAAGTTCATACATGACACCGGAATTCCAATGTACCTATGTCAAGTAAATCTGTCAAGACACTAGTGTTCTGAAACTATCAAATTTTGGTAGAATTCCATTGGTAAAGATCATGGTTAATTTGTTACCTTAACGAAATTTGGTAACACAAAAAATTGGTAGGATTGAACGTGGCAATAAAGTGAACATGCCCTTCATTTCCGTACGTGTTCCACATTGGTGCGTCTACGTATCATGCCATATATACGTATGTTGAACAAAGTTAAAGAGCCTTATCTCTCTTGTGGCAAATTACAGGGACAAATTTAAGAATGGCATTTGGAGAGTGGCCACTTGAGTTGCAAAAAGTTAAATTTTCCCTCAAATGCAATACGTGTCAAGAAAAATTGTAAAGAAAAAAAATGAAGAGCATAGAGTGTACGTAGTGACATATATCATCAAATTTCTATTTCATAATCAATTTGGATGTGAATAATACTTGTATTGCTTATATCTCGGATTTGTCTCTCCAATGTTTTGACATTGCATTCAAGTTGAATTAAGACTTGAACATTTAGGATGGTATACCGTATACGTTTCCTAGCTAAATCAAACTAAATGTTATAAAAATTGTATATATTGTTTCTATGTATTTAGAGGAACGAGGGAAGTACCTCAAGTTCTCTAGAGATCAAAAGTTGTACTTCCGTCCATGCAGTATGTAACAGTATCACATACTATAGATTTTCGCCTAGGAGTACTTCATAGTATGTCTTTGGTTCAAACCAGACAATTTTTCATATAGGTTTAAATAGATCAGATATTGTGTCCTATCCGCTCCACTCCGAATCTGTTCGAAATGAGGATATGGTGGGGCCTGTAGAAATCTGGTAAATATACAAATGCTGATACGGATAGTTTCCAGTTTAGATCGAAGTAGGTTGATGAAATGGTATGGTGGCAAAGAGCTAAATACATACACATATGAAAGCATTTTCAATTTATAAAATCACTTTTCTATGCCTACTCAATGACTAGCAATGTGCATGTAGGACAGCTCGTGCAAGCAGGTACGTATTAGATTATCATGAGTCTTGGACAACAAACAAAAGGGGATCAAATTTCAAGAACTGATTTTCAGTTGTCTCCATCCATATTGTGGAGATATCTACCAATATACCATCTCCTAGCAACTAAACAAAACTGATTTCAAACAAAAATTTTGACGCAAATGAAATTGTACAGAAAAAAACCATCTCTGCACTGCATGCACTAGGAAGTTGCCACATCACTTTCCACTTCCAACTAAATAATCTCAGGTGTTCTGCTGTAAAAATATATGTTTCTTTAATAGAAACGGGAGGGGGCAACCTCTCTAGTTAATAAAAACTAAATAATCTCAGGTGGCTGCATCAGCATCAATTTTTCAGTTTTAGATTAGCTTATCAACAATGTATTGACTCTGGACATGTCGATATTTAGGGTCACAGGTTGTTGGAACATTGTAATCAGTGTTATGTTCTTCTAGCCCACGAATCTTGGCCACAACACTATGCCATGAAATTTTCATACAGGGGTTGTGAAATTTGTACATGACGCAGTAATTGCAATGTACCTATGTCTAAATCTATCAAGACACTAATGGGGTCGCTGAGCTCCCTAGGAGAATCGGTAGATGTAAAAGCTATTCTCTCTCTAACGAGCGTAAGAGCTGTTCTGTTGTTGCAACGAGCTTTCCTGCTATTGGATTTATCTGATAGAATATTTGATGGTTGATATCAGTACCATATAGATGTACTTCCTTTCTTTGACAAATTAAATGTGCTTGAGTATTGTAATATGCTGGCTTAAACAAATGTAAACATGTCTCTGGCTGGTGCAAATATTTAGAGCTAAGCTATATATGGCCTGGCGCAACCTCAATCACAATGGTTTCGTTCCGATAATGGGAATAGCTCAATCCCAAAGATGTTTCCTTGTTTCACATGGTACAACAATTTGGCGGGGGTGGGTGCGATACAGTGCAATAACTCGAGAATTGAACGTTCGAGTGCAACAACTTGATAAGTAGGTGCGTTTTAGTATAAGAACTTGACAATTTAGTATTTGATACATAAACTTAGCTAAGCATATGCTAGGTACTTAAAATATACAAATCCACGCTAGTATATTGTCAAAATAAGTACTTAAAAATTAAATATGTATAAAAAAGTGCTCCAAATAATTAAGTTGCCGCATAACTTGTTAACTTATTGTATCGAAATCGTACATATCTTGCAAGTTGTTGCATTTATGTGATCACTTATAAAGTTCTGGTACTAAATTACACCTATCTGCCAAGTTGTTACGTTAAAACGCTCATTTCTCAAATTCTTGCACCAAATTACACCCATCTGCTAAGTTGATGCACCGTAGGTGTAATTTACTCTTTCAGTAGTTTAAATGTGTCGAGAGAGAAATTAGCAGATCCATCAGAATAGGATATAAATTTCGCAGAAAATAAACAAAAAAGGGAATAAAGGAGGGAGACTGGCCGGAGCGCCGCTCCCGCCGTTCGCCACGTGGCAGCGGGCCATGGAGTCACTCACCCCTATCCAGCACACACTAGAATGCTCTTGGAGCGCCCTAAGGCCGGCCTCAGGTTTGCTCATCTTCATCGCCCTCCGTGGCCACGGCTGTCGGTGACATGGGACCGGGAGTATCATGACTAGAGGCTTGGGCAGGAGCAATCACCCACGAGGCCTGACCCCCTCGGGGGGGTCGGGCCCGAGGGTGATGTGGCCGCCCCCCTCTTTGTCTTCCCGAGGGGTCGGACCGCTCCCGTTTCGGCCCCGAGGGCTGAGGCGCCCCGACCCCTTGTAGGTTTTGCGCCGCGTGTATGGGTTAGGTGAGCGCAGCGGGGCTCACCTAACCGCATTTATTGCGG